GCCATTTACCAAAGATCTGTATGTAGCACATATACAAACAGAACAGAAACACACACAATTTTTACAGAAAAAACATTTAAGTCATGTACAATAGTTACAAAAGCAGAGTACTGTACATATTAAGATTAAATAGGAGAGGGATCAGCATTTATGTTGTTAAATGTTTTTGCTTGTAAGACTTAAACATTTAACTGTAGGATAGTAGATATTATTGGACAAAGGATGCTAGAAATGGAGCTTCCAAGAAGGAGGATAAAAGGAAGATCACAGAAAAGGATAATGGAGTACATACAGAGGGTAGGTGTGACCGAAGACAGGGTGAGATGGAGGCAGATGATCAACGGGAAGAAGAAGAGTTTAAAGATTTGTCTTTACTTTGAAAAGGCACCATTTCAAACCATCTCCAGCTACCAGTTGTTGAAACTGCTGTTCTTCTTGTGCGTCCTTGCATTTGACCACCAGAGGGAGACAACGCATATATAGTGCACTCAGCCGAGTTATTAAATTGAGATGATGTATAAATCTGAGGACTTGCAATTACAGAAATTTGTGCTTATCAGAGAAGTCAGCACGTGAATGTTAAATCATGTAGATTTTACTGTTCTGGGTGGAGGGTCAATGACCATTACAAGTTTTGTGTTTTTTAGCACACATGCAACAAAAACTATATTTTTCTATTAAAATCTATTAAAATCATCGTTCACAGACAACTCTTCTGTGTTGTTTTTCATAACAATACAATCCCTATACGCTGCAGTTTATTGTATGTGGCTAATATTACGTGTTTTTACATGGAAGAAAATTTTGTCTCTTTTCTAATTTGTCATTTTCAAAGGTTGATTTTTATGTGCCTTTAAAAGTTAGTTGGACACAACTTTTTATTATTAGAAAATGGAAGTGACATAATATGGGGTATGGGTGATAAGATCTTTTAAAACTATTAAATTGTGCTGAAAAGTCATGAAAATGACCTTAAATCCCTACAAAAATGCAAATAGTCAGTCATATTTTTAAAGTAGGGTATTTATTTAATTATTTATTTATAAACGAGCAGCCGTGTGTTGCAGTCTGTCAGCTTGACGAATATGAGGACCATAGGTTGTATTTGAATATCCCGCCTCGTCATCGACTCCTCCGAGCTTTGCCGAGGCGGGGATTCACAGCTCTTCTCCCGTAGAGTTAGTAGTGTGTTGGGAAGCTGCACAGAAGCTCCGGTCACTGAAAGGTAACTTTTATAAAGCAGCTCTTATACTGCGAATGTTTCGTTTTCTCATACGACGCGTAGCAGAAGAGCGTTATCAAAGACTGGAGCGTTTGATTTAGCCCCCCGCCTTTTCCTCTTGGATGTATCGCTTGAAGAACTAGGAACGGACCGCGCAGCTCACCGAAGCCGGGATGAGCGGGACCTCCGCGGGGTCGGCCGCGGCGCCCTGCCGCTTCGCGCACTACTTTGTTATTTGTGGAATAGACACAGAAACGGGACTTGAACCGGACGAGTTAGCAGGTATGTGGCTTCTTTTCTGTTGTTGAGTTATGAACGTGTTTTAAAGTCAAACGGAACCGCAACGGTCCCCTCTCGCTTAACACAGTGTTGTTAACTGTAACGATCCATCCACCGCTATGGAGCTCTGACTTTTTATTGTAAACCATTTAATACATTTATGTAACATATAGTGAGATTTCAGAACACCCTAAAACACAAGTGACACATACACATCTTTACAAACAAGTGGAATGAAACAGTTACTTCAAAGAGTTACTTAATAAGTAAGCAGTGTCTGTACATTGGGTGAACGGAATAAAGATACGCATCGTTCCTGTCTGATCACAGTATATGAGCTGCGGAAACCAGTGTCGTTTAAGGTAATAAGCTTTTGAGAAATCAGCAGTAACCTATCTTTTCCGAATCCTATAATCTGATCTCGGCTTCCTGTGCTGTGCTACGTCTCAGAGCTGCTCTGTAGCTTCAGTGTTTCCCAAATGAATCGATTTGTTTGATGCTTGTTGTGGCTTAAAATTATACATTTTAAGTAACCTTTACAACAAAATAAAGCCATGTTTGGATATATTACGTGTTCTTCGCCGGTTTGTTTGTATGAGTTTTAATAGTAAAATAAAAAAAAAGCATAGTTACGTTCAGTACTACCACAGGTGTGGACTAAGATGGTGATATTTTCTCCACAGCAGAATGTATTTTTTGACATGTAATTGCTGTACATAGCTGGCAGGATCCCTGTTGTCATCTGAAGAAGACTGAAGAAGAGCCATGTCTGCTCTTCAGTGGCACCAACCTCAGTTTCAGCACGTTTACTTTGTCACAGATGCATTCACTCACAGTTGAATTGTAACTTTTGCCTCTGGGGCAAAGTTGCGAATTGTAAAGTCAATGTGTTCATGTTGCACACAGGTGACTTGGCTTAAAGCCTGAACGAGTGAAGTTAATCTAGAACAAACAAAACTGAACATATACACAGATATATATTAAAATTTTATTGAAAGGGGGAAATAACTTCCCAGCACTGGGTTTCATAAACCAATTGCTTATCCTTGCTTTCCATAAAGACGCTGCTTGACTGTGGCTATCTGCTCAGCAGTGATGCTACTCTGCTGCACTGCTGAGATACAAACTGTAAAGGCATCATTTGTTTAAAAAACACCCTTATAAGTAAGTATTTTAAAAATATACTTAAAACTACTGTGGTGGGAAGCTACAGTTTTATACCAAAGATACATTATATGCGTCCTATGCTTTAAACTTCATCAAAGGTGATCAGTGGTGAAGTGGCCAGCTTGGTGAGGATTCCCTGTTTAAAAAAGAAAATCACAAGATTAGTTAGTCAGCTCTAAGAGTGAGCCTCTGGATGAGCGTCTGGACCAGCTCAAGAAATCCTTCATCCCAAATCATTGAGGCTGTTTCTGCTCAAATAGCGTATCTTTGGTAATTTCATCATACATACTTTTGGGACACAACAAAGGCTGAAAGATGATGTAGTATAGCCTCGTCATGTTGTCAAACTATTACCATGAGAAATCCCAGTCAAATAAAATAGCCTGTTGTTTGGGCTTTCAGGCTGTGAAAAGAAGAAATCTTATCAGGAAAAGAATATGGGATCAGTTTTTCTTATAAATGAACTAAATGTTTATGAACTATAGTAAAAAGTGTGAAATAGCTGCTCTGACTGTCTGTAATCAGATCTGCTGCCACGGTCTCTGGTGATCTCCAGTTGTACACAAAGATGATGTTTGGTTGTTTTTCAAGCTTAGGCAGCATCTCAGCACCCCACTTATTCTTTTGCCCCTAAGTTAGAGGCAGAAACAAACAGAGTGACCCACATTAGGCTGTTTCTGCTTTTTTTAGGCTGCGACTCCCCTCCTCCCAGCTTTTTGTGCGCTACAGTGGCCTTATTTCCCTCTGCTTATTGTTTTAGTAAGAGGACCCAACTTCCTGCAGACCTGCCTCAACCTCCTTTTAGAGTTGGTCATACCTTCTCGCTCTCCCTGTATGTCTGTTATCATACAAGTGTTTCCCACATGGTCCATGTGTGGGTAATTGTATCAGTTTGTATTTTTAATTATATTTTCATTAATTTATACGTCAGAGAAAATAACATCAAGCACAATTTATTTCCTCTTGGACAATGCTCACTCTTATTTTTAAAAGTTTCGTTGTTGGTAACCAGCCAATCCTGAGCGTAGTATATCCTAGCTCATTGGCCACTGTGTTATTGTGGCAATCCTTGATATCATCCACCTGCATCCTTCAAAAGGGGTCTTTTGAGTATTTGAATGCAGTCAAACTCATCTTCTGCTCTTGAGCTGAAATCTTCAGAATCAATCAGCTGGTGAGGAACTTTTTCTTAACTGGTTAAATGTCTCCTGTCAGAAGTCACTGTCTCAGCCCAGGCCCACAGCCCATACCACACCACTCAGCCTCAGGGGTATAAATACATCCTGGCTGTCATACAGGCCCTAAAATAGTTTGTGCATTCTAACACCAGATGCATTTTGGGTCAGCAGCATTGTGGAGTTAAAGTGACCAGCCTGAAAAGCTAACTTTGGGGTGAGAGCTGTCACGTGTAGATTTAGATATGAGGTCATGGCTTGCACATCTCTCTTCTGTCTCTCAATGTAAGAAAGGTATGCGCTCTTGGTGGAGGGGAAGCAGCTGGTGGTTTCAGACCCCTGTAGCCTAAATCTTCCAGGTTATGAAAGACACTTTCATAACCTTTCATAACCATTCCTGTTTTCAGGAATGTATCTAAAATGTTTTCATTAACAGTTCAACTGTTTATGTTAAGCTTGCTCAACCATAAAAAGAATAAACATATATGATGTGATTTCAACTTTCATCTTATGGCAACATTTATGGCAGGTTGTAGCAAAAATAACTTTTATTTTATTGGATACAACAGAAACTGACAAAGTTAACTGTGAGAACAGGATTTGCGGTTGAAATAATTTGATAAATTAGAAATATATGTTATTGCAATACAATATATTAAAAATCTCAATAATAATCTCTCATTGTGATCGTGTCATATTGTGAGATGCTGTGTGATCCCTGGGGAGATTTACTTCTCCGATGGGCCGTTCTATACCCATTTATGACTCTTAATATTGTGTTTGCACAGTAACCTCCCTTGCTGCTAGCTTGGAAGCTGCCCAGTGCAGGTTTAAATATCATTGAAGCACAGGGGCTTACAGGACAGCCGTGACGTGGGAGTGTCTTTGGGCTGCTGCTGCAGGCCACAATGGGATTTAAACTGCTAAAACTCCCCTCCGGCCTGGACCATCTGTCTGCACCAGAGCAGCCTGAGAGCAGTCAGCACAACGACTGCATCATAATGGCCAACATGACAAGTATGCTAATGACAGGGACTAACAACAGTAATGGACGCGCCTGTTGACTCACGTGAACAATAGCGTGCATGGGTAATGGACAGATTATATGGCACAGACACTTATAACGGCTCATGACTGCTAACATCTCTGCAGTTCTTGTATTGTAATAATAATGTTGATCTCATTTTCTAATAGAAATTTTAACTCCGAGGTTTTGTCCTTTTGGACAGTGACTCCACTTTGCTTGCTTTTGCTACAGATCTGAGTCTTTCTGAATGTGGATTTCTTTCTTCACGCATCATTACTTCCTTCTCCTCTCCTCTAGCCTCAGTCTCTTTTACTTTGCTGTCCCCCGTTTGTTGCCTCGTGTTCTGTCAGCATGGCCGGCCTGTCGTTAAGCCTTTTAGAGTAATCTGTTTGGACACTTCCTCCAGGCTACACTGAGCACATCTCTGTAATATAACACACAGCCAGGCCTAAGCAGTGCCTCCTCTACTCCCCTACACACACTCAGGCTATTGACTCCACTCTGCTTTCTTCAATGTTTGACCAACAGCATCCTCTTATTATAAAACTTGTCACTAAAGGTGGACTTTTTAATGACTGTGGAGGTTTTTGCCTCACTTGACATGGAGACAAAAGTTTTCTCCTGACTGAGTTCTGATGTTCCTCAAAAGAACAACAAACACTTGTATGAATGTGTGTAAATGGGTGAATGAGACATGTTGTATAAAGTGCTTTAAATGCTTGAGTAGAAAAGTACGATATCACAACCAGTGATTGACCATTCTGATGGTACCTCCTTCATTTATTGTCATATGCTTTCACCAAACTCGCTCAAGCTGGCGGAAGCTCTTTGGTTAAAAAGATCTATCCAGAAAAACCAAAAACCATTGAAGGTGTTGTTTGGTAAACCTGTGGAACATCGAGCTTTCAGGTAGACTTTGTGTGTTTCTCCTCAATCAGATTAGATCCCACTCAGCAGTTTACAAGTGATTTAACCATATTTACATTTAGGGCTGCCACAAACGATTATTTTGATAGTCGACTAGTCAGATCATCATCCATTGGACCTAAAACTTACAGCTTATTGCACCAGCAGCATCTGCTCTTATATAACTATCATTAGCTTACAGCTT